ATACAATCAGCTCGTCATTTGTTCCTCTGCTTACTGGCAGATCACATAGGTGTTTTCAAAGGATGTCTTAACAACATTTTAATAATGACCACACAACTGTAAATTTAGCTTAAACTTCTTACCACAGTACACGTCATGGAAATTCACTGATTGGGCCTCTTTCAAACATTTTCCACACTAAAAAAAAGGCAGATTTTAACATCAAAACTTTAGATTAAAAGTTATCACAAGCTTGGAAATAAAACATATTTTGTAACTGTTATCACATAGAAATGATACTTTCTGCTTCAAAATAAAATGAAAATACCACAAACGTGCAATGAATCTGGGAAAGCAAATACTTTTTAGTCTACCATCCAATGGTATTATCTGAAGCCAAATCTACAATATTGCAATTTGAAAAGATAGTTTGGCGACCGTCATTATGTTATTCTCAAGCTATGATTCCCTCAAAATATATGAATAAAATCAAATGTAATAAACAAATAAATAATCAAAACAAATCATAGGATAGCAAGAACTTTAAATGCAGAGTAATTGGTTAGAAGATTTGCCCGTTTTGTTGTGTTGAATGTGAACAAATATAATGCAGCAGTACAATTCTTTTACTTTAATTAAACCATGATCTACCATGATTTCAGAACCAAAACAACCCAGCCTTTCTGGTGTTAAGGGCAAAAATATTCATGTAGATGTAAAGAGAAATTAAATGTCTTACTTCTTTCCACTTGAAATAATAAAGAACTCACAGATATCTATAGGCTTCATACTTGATTTTGTTTTCTTCTTGCAGCTAACAGAACAATATTCTAAGACTTTTCACTGGAGTGATAGCATCAAGACCATAATCAAGAATGAATATACATTTTAATCTTGTAGCATGACATGTTCATTTTGCCTTACACCCTTTGCTATGTGTGGAGCTTGGCTTGAATTGTACATCACCAGCTTCATATTATATACATGTATGACAAAACGACTATATTCTTAACACAAGACCATAAGAAAATTTCCTGATTACAATATGGAAACGACCAAACTATTCTAAAGCTTTCGCAAAGGAATAATGTAAAAAGTTACAACACTTGTCTAGTAGTAGTAGTTCAGTCAAATACATTTTGAAGATTTTGTCATTCTAATCTAAATAATTCATGATTATGCTTTAATCATCTGTTCTGAAAATAACCAAATGATCTTCAGAAACCGACAATAATCTCAGATATCCCTACCGGTACTGCATTATCAGCGGAAGCATTAACAAACCACATACATGTGTATCAGAATTTCTTGGATGCAAACACACAGGCTTCCTCACGTTTATTAAATTCATTTCAGCACCAGTTTGATAATACATATCAACAAAATGAACATAGCTGTGACAAAATGTTTCTTTATTTCATTATTTCATTATTAAAGCTTAACCGTCACATATTTATATGGATTTATTATTGTAATATCTACTTGTTCTGCACCAACAAGAACTTCTAGAAGTAATGTCTACATCGATTTATTAATTAACATTGCATAATAGAAGAGTTTTTGTGGAAGTTTCCATTTTATCTAACAGAATAAAGACGACATGAATCAGAGTCATATTACGTAGTATCCATATTGAGAGGAACATGCCAATAACATGTTCAATTAATGTACAATGTACTATAGTTATTCCATTTCCAACAAACTTGATGGGTTTAATATATGATGTCACACGTGACAAACCACATGACATCATATATGAGATTTGATCTTTGTAGCAGTATTGCTTTTTATAGCCTTAAAGCCCAAGTCCACTCTAAAAATAATTTACTTTCCATAGAAGCAGAAAAAATCAGACTAACCAATCAAAAAAAGTCTGAGCAAAATCGGATAACTAATAAGAAAGTTATGAATTTCTAATGACATTACAAACTTTGAAAATCACTAGACAAATTGGCAACTCACTCATGAGTCTGTGACATCATGTCCTCACTATCCACTAATTATTTTCTTTATATAGATGATATAAATTTACTATTTTCTCCTTAAGAATCTTATTTCTTCACACCAGCATCCAAGTTAAATTAATAGTAATACAGTATGTTTTTGTGTGGATGCACTAATATAGAGTAAAATATAGAGTAATTTTTTTCCAGTTAAAGATAAACTTTAGTACTGGTAATGCGATGCATTGTGAAAGAAAAGGTGTGGAAAGGATCAGAAACAGTTGATCATGTAGCATGTAAGTATTGGTGTGTACTGCAAGGTTCTAGAGTAATCAAAATCATAATAAATTTGACCGAGTCTTGGTAAAGTAGCAAGCACTGTACACAGAAAGCTATATATGGGACAACACACATGGTGTCGGGGCTAGTACTACCTTGATTTACTTGTCTTTCTATGCTCATTACTCAGCCAGTATACATTTTCTTCCAAAATTGTTTGGCACATGTCATTTATTTGTAATCTTGAACATTCAGTGTAAGTTTCGTTTGATTCTGTGAGAATTAATTTTGATTAACTATTTATATAGAAATCAATGATTATGAATATTCAATATTCAGAAAATAGTATAAATTCTTCAAAGTTCATAAAAGATTTTGTGAAATGTCATGCACGCAATATGATACAAATCATATAACCTGGGCAAAGGCATGGGGAAATCAAGTTTCGGGAATAAAAAGGGAAATTAATGGGATTAAACCATATAGAGCAGTTGATAAATAGTGAGGACATGACGTCACAAACTGATAACCATCTTGGCAATTTGTGTTGTGATTCTCATTGTTCCATAGTTTTACATACTATTTCAAAAATTTATAACTTTCTTATTAGTTATCCGATTTTGCTCAAACTTTTTTTGATTGGTTTGTCTGATTTTTCTGCTTTTACTGGAAGTAAGTTATTTTTCGAGTGGACTTGTCCTTTAAATATGGTCATACCAGGAACTTTTGCAGGCATGAAATTTTGCGAGTGATTCAGATTTGAGAAAGTTTCATGCAGCAAATCAATTGAATCACATTTCATGACAGTTTCTTTGCCATGAAAATCAATCTCGTTTATAAATACAAGAACTTCTGGTTTTAGCCATGAAAATGAATCTCGTTTATAAATACAAGAACTTCTGGTTTTAGATTTTACGGTTCACAGTATACACTCATTCATATGACGGACTGGCATACAAATTTCTTTTTTCTTTTTTTGAAAACAGAACAGGCAAACTGAAACATATACCAAGCAATCTGTTCTGGTACTAGTTACTTTCTCATGCTGACAAATAATTCAAATTTGTTATACATGTACACTATGGTACTGGTTATGAAACTCAAAAGGTTCTAAACCTAGATTTGTTTTTCACAGGAATGTAATATTTATGGAAGAATACATAGAGATATATAAATATATATATTTCAAAACATGTTTTTGGCAAAATATTGCACCAGTAAAAGGAAAGAAAGGCACTCATAACATTGAATCCTATAAACATAATAAAGGTATCAAGACTATATGCACTAGTTTGCACAGGTATTGCAGTTATATAGAGCAATCTACATTGTGCAACCTCATTTTAAAAGGTTTCAAACACAAGAGCCAAAAGGGCGTTAACTCTGTGTAGAATTATATACAACAATGCCTTTCTAGCTCTCAGCAGTTGATGAAGAAACTGTGGTAAGGATGTAATATGTTTTTATACCAATCATGTTTCCTCTTAATCACAATTATAGTTCATACAAATGCTCGCTGACTACATGTCATCTTGTATTTCTTTGCAAGAGTGAATAAAATCCGAACTCAATTAGTTTTCTGGTACTCATATCACAATTTTAGAGTATTACAGCAGGATCCAACAAATATTTCCTTGTTAGTTATTCCCCAATCCCTTAAGGAACAACACAAATTTACATGCAAAGGCTTAAAGTTCATTTAATTCATCATGCTTTGCTTTTAGAAGCATATAGTAAATATAGAAGCATAAAGTAAATTTAAATAAAAAAATGCTTTAATGCATAAAATAACATGAATGACATGATAGATATCATAAATAAACTGAATAACAAGCCATATCAGACATCTGAGCAGGACAATTTTTTAATATTATAGAGTACCGAAGCTGTGACATCATAAAAATCTATTTTCAGAATTTTTCTATTTTTTTCTTCATTTTCCAAAAGAGCATCAAAAAATAATGTCCGAATGTCGAAAACCAATTGAATATGTTAAGTATTGGTTGAGATATGACCATCTGAATAAATAGATGTTCCATGAACTCAATTGTTATATTGCTCTGGTTCATGACATCACACTTCACCACTCTATTGCCCTCAAAGTTTGATAAGCCTACAAAAACTATGTGTGTAATTTCCTCGTCAATATTAATACACAATAAACCATTGAACAAAATATATTGCCCAATCAGAAAAATATCAAAAATGCGCGTTAGACTAGCAGGAAATAATATGTACAGCCAACATTTAGCTTCATTACGTGTATGATTTGTGCAGAGAAAATGCACACTTTGCGTGTTCTCTATTGGAACGTAATAATCACACTTAAGGCACACTGTTTGCAGTGTATCAAAAATTTTGTCAAGCACTGGATGTGCAGTGCTGGTTTGACGATGTTTTTGCAACTTTTCATGCTAGGAAACCCTGTGCAGTGTAAGCTAGTGTATTTTACATAATTTAAGAGTATAAAATAGTAAGAGTTTCTTGTTTGCTCTAGATGTCTGATGTGGTTAATAATAGTAATATTAACTGCCTAATTCAGGGCAATATGACTTGTCATATATCACCCTCATCTTCAGTTCGGGCGATATATGTCATATTGGCCTGAAGGCAGTCAATATTACCTAACTATAACGCACCTTCCACATGCCATATCTCTAGCCCATGATTTTGTATATAGATAAACCAATTGGTGTAGTAACAGATTAGTCTATATTTAATTACAACTCTATGTTGTACATGTATGTGACAAAACTCACTAGCAGATAAATGATATTTCATAATCATTACATAGTTGAGATTCACTCAACAGAATTTTTTCCTCCAGATATATTTATGATAAAAATTATCAATCAGCCTCCATTTGCAAGAATACAATGACGAAAATTACTTCTGAATCTTTATCCCTCTCGAATTTTCTAAATAACAAATTTGGCAGTTGAGTTGGGGATGTACCAACTAAATCCATCTGTTTATCTAATCTCACAAGAATGAAGTTGCTACATTTGCCACACTCAACCCAGGTGATGTAAATGGGTACCTGGCACGAATTAATTCCTTAAAATGCTGGAGCGCTGTAATGGCAGCTAGGCTAAAGCCGGGGTAATAATAAATGCGCCTCGGAATAGAATTTTTAGATAGATGGCGCTATAGAAATGCCTATCATTATTATTATTAAGGTTTATCGATCATCAAAATGTAGTATCCATAGATTCAAAGAAGCAGTGTCTGGATGATAAAGTCCACATTTGGCAGGTGGTATTGTGCTATTTTAGAATGGAGACAGTACAGCATGTCAACAACTTAAAACCCCAAACATGCACCTAATACAGTAAGCCCTCTTCCAAATATTCAGGGCACAATAAGACTTAAAAATTTGACCAGCTCACTAATGTATACACATTTTATATTTAAAAATGAAGTATGAAATGGTAGAGCCCACGGTAGGACAGCTACATAGTAAATGATTAAAACTATCTTCTCAACCAACCCAACCACATTGTGAGGAGAGGACTATGTCCATATTCCAATTTACAGGTTACAATACTATTGTTAAAATAATCATGACTATATCACTATTCTACATGTCATTACACCTTACGACTATAAGCATTAGCAATATACAGCATAAAATGTTCAAACATGTCCACTACTATCACACTACAAAGTACTGAAAATTGCCTCCATTTCTCAATAAAAGAAGCTGCAAATATGGAAGACAGAAACTAATGAAAGGAACATTTACAATGCACTCTTTAATACTCCAAATAACATAGGCCACGTAATAGTTTCTCTCTCTCTCTCTCTCTCTCCTTCTAAGCTCTTTCTTTGAGTTTTTGCCACCAAAATCACCACTGAAGCCCTCAAAGAAAACACTATTTTTGAGTGTTGGGCAGGAATCAGCTTGGTACCAAGGACTTAGGGAAAACACCAATCTTGACAAAGTCATCCACCATCTGAGTAAGAATGATAATCATAGAGAATACATCTACCTAGGTCTTGACAGGCACTAGACAAAGTCACACATCATTGGAAGTTAATCTCCTAGTTTGATCACTGCTCCATTCTATTTGTTAGGCTACCATGCACTTTATTGGCTTTTAGTATGAGGAAAGTAGTTCTTGACTGACTGATTTACACACTGTATCCCTTTTTATTCATAATTCATAGCATTGATCACATTTCAATGTTTACAAGTTTTGTTCTTTTTGCCAGTCTTGTTAGAGACATCCTCTTTCAAAATACATCCCATACTTATCTCTTACCTCTGTCCATTTATTGGTTTATTCACTGGGTGATGTACATTTATGGCCTCTCTGACTGGATATCAATTTCTATCAGTAACTAGAACCTTAGAAAGGACTTGCAGCAGAGCTTTTAAGCTCTAGCAGTCACAATAAAACAAAAAACCTGATGCTATAATCGCCTCTTACTCTTACCTCTTTTAGAGCTTCCTTAGTTAGCTTAGGTCTGAGATGTGTGAAGCCAGTTGCATCTAATTTACTGCCATCCAGCAACATATGTTTGTGGTAGAGAAGTTCCTGTGATACACACAAAGGTACATGTAGGTGACTATGTCATGAGCAAACTGGATTATCAGTAACCCCAAGTTCAGGCCTTGAGGCCTATTTTCCCCATTTTTCAAAATGATCGACTCTGGATACTTTTTGTTATGAATGTTTTCTCCAAACACTGATATATTTTTAGTAAATTTAGGTTTATAAAATATGCTGAAATCATAATAAAAAATGTCAGGCCTCAAAACTCTGCAAAGAAGCTTTAAATTACCTTTAAAAATATAAAAATCTAATAATGTTATCCAGGGCAAGTGTAAAAATATGTACTATGATTCTAATTGTTTCAGTTTTATTTTTCATTTCCAACAGAACAGTAATTTTGACGAGAAATCAGATATACAATACAATATTCAATAATATAATACATTTTACATGGTTTAAAGTTATGAAATAGAAAGTAGAAAGTGATCAGGAAATATTCCATACTGGTAATCTAAAATAAAATAAAAATATGTTGTTAACAATTAAAAAACAAAGCCGAACAAAACACATTGTGCTAATAAATTTACCCCATCCAACCAATCAAATGCAAGTAAAAAAAAATATGGAAAGGAAGGTTCCCCTTCACCCCAAATGGATATTCATATTGCCAATTTGATACATAGTTTTCAAATAATCATTGAAGATAACTTGACGTATCTTCAAATTTTAATGGACCATAATTTTGGCAAAAATCACGAAAATTGACATTGTGTTGTAAGGTTGTAGAAAACTGATTATAAACTCTTCATCTTCATCATTTGGGGGAAGGGAAACCTTCCTTTTCATATTTTTACTTCTATTTGATTGGTTGGATGGTAAAGAGGGAAGTAATTATATTAGCATAATGTTTTAACCGTCTTTATTTTTTAATTGTTTAACATTAAATTTGTTTTGAAAAGTATAGGATATCTCACACCATGAAAAATGGCTTTAGGTGTCTTTCGTGATGTAAGGCCTCATGACAACATGAATTAATAACATATTTTATGAGAAATAGTATATACCGGTAGTAGACATAAAATATATAAATTAGATGTGTTGTGACCAATGTTGCGACCTATAATTGGAAGATGGAGTATTTCTACAGAAGCATAAACCATGAAAAACCTGAAAGGTACCAGAAGCAATGGATAGTGAAAGAATGTTGAAATCCTGTAGAAACACACTGACACCTAATGATTAGAGGCAAGGGAAAAGAGCAATTTATATTCTAGAAAACAATTTTCAAGAAGACAATGATGCCTCCGCCCTCCGTGAAATTTTTACTTCCACACATTTCACCTGAAGCTTATTACCATAAGCACTGTGACTATCTACCCTTTGACCTCTTACACCCAAAATCAAATCATTTAATCCTTGCACGCCCATTCATACTTCATCCAAGGTTGATTCGAATTGCTTCAATGCATTTCTGGGTTATCGTGGTAATTAGCTATTTCCTGGCATATTTCAATGCCTTTATCAACCTGTTACCATTCACCTTTGACTATTTATGCCCAGAATCTAATCAGTTCATCCTTGCATGTTCATTCATACTTCATCCAAGTTTGATTTGAATTGCTGAAGGCTTTTCAAGAAACAAGAAATTTTCTGGTAGTTTTTACACTTTATGACCATGTGACCTTTATTGTCTTCCACCCAAACTTTAATCAGTTCATCCTTGCATGCTCATACATACTTGATCTAAGTTTGGTTAAAATTATCTTGATTGTTCTTGAGTTATGGCGGTAACGGAAAGTGGGAGGACAGACAGACAACCCGAAAGCATAATGCCTCCTGCACCACCTTATGGTGGCGGAGGCATGAAAATACAAAAGAAAAATAATTACCGCATCCAGATAGGGGCTGAGTGGCGTGTGTTCTATCTTGTCTAGCTTACAAGCCTCTGACCATGGTTCAGTATGCTTGTCATTGCAGAATTCAGCTATATCCCTGTTGCTCAACTACACACAAGCAAACAAAGTAAAAGGGGAGAAAAAAGAAATGTTATTTAGTGCACAGACACACAATGAGAGCAAATTAACATCGTGATCATAACACATTCTAAAACTAGAAGTATCACAGTCAAGTGGTAAGCACTTCATAAGAAAAAGGAACAAAAATTAAAAATTCTGTCTTGAACTATCAATGTGAGATACTTTTCAACTTTTGCAATAATATAATATTATATTTCTTTCTTAATTCAATTGAAGGTATTTTTTTACTATAGCTTACTTCAGCAATCTTGGTAAGAGCGGTCCCCAAGAAGCCATACTTGATATCAAAGATTTGACAGACCAGGTCTGAAATGCTACCTTGTGCTGTAAGGAAAACATTGAAAGAAGAGGAGGAAATCTGGCTTTAAAAATGAAATACCCTTTGATGATGACATATCAATAACATGAACTGACACCCTGGCTACACAGATTACAGCCCATATATATTAGTGCTGATCAGCCCAGCGAAGCAATTTCATATTGGAACAGAGATAACAGTAAAAAATTCACAAATATCTTGCTCCTACGTTTGAATACTCATCCCATCAGTGTTCAAGTTCTATTTAGTAACTGTTTAACTGTTTTACTATGTCTTTCAATGAGTTTTATGGAATAGACCAGATTTTATTACAACCCATTATATTTTCATACACCAATAGGCTTATCCAACTTACGTCTCGTTTGGATATAAAGGAAGTCTCCCTTTAAAAAAATCTGCATAGAAATTGTTCTACACAAATTTACACTTATAATTTCCTATCATCATTTTCGAAATGCCTTCACAATATAAGTAGTGTTGTGTTTGGCAGTTTACATACACCCAGTAGAAAAATACTGAAATCTATTTGATTCACATTTGAATTGGTTAATTCCAAAGGGCCATGAAAAGCTCTATAGTAATCTTTATTCCCTTCATCACACTTTACGACCAAAAATCAAATACAGAGCCTTTGCGTCATGTATTAATGATGACCAAAAATGTTGCCACTTTTGCCCCCAAATTGAGGGGTTTACAAAAAAAGAAAATCAAGCCTCTCTCTAGATTGGCCTCACCTCAAATATGATCCATACCAAGTTTGGTTAAAATCTGGCCATGCATATTTGAGAAGTCGACAATGTTAACCAGAGGGCTTTATTTTTTTTCTTGGAGGGGGGGGGGGGGTGTGCTACTACCAACCCCCTCTTCCCTTTTAGCCAAAATCTATACAGGAATTTTAAAGAAAAAGTTTTGAAAATGTCTAAATATTGTCATATGGGAAGTTTAGGGTGCTGCCTCCAGGTCTCCCTCAGGGGCACGGATCCCATTTGAATAAATCTAGATCTCCCTTGCATGACTGGTGTGTTGGCTCAGTCAGTAGAGCATCCGTCTCACAAACGGAAGGTCGTGGGTTTGAACCCCGGCTGCGTCATACCAAAAGACTTTAAAAGACGGGAGTTGCTGCTACCTTGTTTGGCGTTCAACAACAAGAGATAGAGCAACGTCGATCTGGCGCTGCTCAGTGGCTGCCGGGCTCACGATCAATTGGGCAAAAAGAATTTCCATTTTCGATTTCACTTAATAAAATTTGGAGTGGACTTTAAAAGATTATTATTATTATCATTATTATAAGGATGATTCAAAACAAGTTTAGTTAAAATCCGGACATTCATTTTTGAGAAGTTGAAAATATAAAATGTAAAAAAAACTATCTTGAGCCTTTGGCTCAGGTTAGCGAAAAACAACCAAAAACAATTGACAAAATAGTCCATTGGGAAAGGGGTGTAACACTCCCCTAAAAAGGACACCAAAGTGGCCTTAAACTAGGCTTTGTTGCTCAAAAATGGTCTGGATGTAAAGTTTAATTCAATTAAGTTCAAATTTACATGGTACACTCTTGAGCATTTTAATTTTCTTTAGGTGCACTTCGGTGTCAGATAATAATTTCATTAATAAGTGATTGAATTTAAAAATTGTATTACTCTCTATTAGTTGGCCAAATATACTGAAAGGATTGTGCATTTTGGGACAGGCTCCCAGACTAAGAAGTCTGTTCTTCACCTGACAAAGGAAGGAGCCTTCTTACAACTTGTGTAGTTGATCCACAAACAGTTTAAAACTTGCAAGGATTCCACACAAAAAAAAAATCCATAATAAAGGGGATCAAAAGTTCACATCAAGCATAATTTTTGACCTGATACTAATTTAATTTCTCGCAATTTTGTATTAAGTTTACTTAAGTTAGGGTTCGTGATAAATTAGTTCTCATTACTCCTATGGGTTTTTTTGTCCATTCTTCCTCTTGGCAAACTGGTAAAAATTACTGCCTTTTTACTTGATCATTTGTTAATCTCTTATAATCTCAAAAATGAATGCATTTCTCCATTTCCTAAATGGTGACAGATGCCATCATTATACATGGCCTTGGTAGAATTTATCTTACTTGTAGACGACTTGTCAACTACATTGAAGACCTGGCCATTCTCTGCCTTTTCAGCAACATGCCAAATAGCTTGGCATACATCATCCACATGAACTGTATGCATCCCAAGATCTGCTGACCACAGGAGCTGCAAATAATTAGGAGCAAAATGTGCAAAATGGATTACTACAGATGGGGGCAGCATCTATAATACAATTATACACATGTGTTCAATTCTCAGAATGATAATATCTTGAATACTAGGTACAATTTTTAGTTTTATCTTAAAGTTTTGATACTTAAGATGTGAATTAAGTTTTGAAATTTGATACATTTTTATATAACATATCTTCTGCAAGGTACATACCTTTTCTTAATACCTCTGGCACCAAAACATTCAGTGGCAAAGTATGAAGAAAGAAAAAAATGAATCTAACAGAGCAGAAAGTTCAATATTATTATACAAATAATACACAGCAGTGAGGGCATTAGTAAGAATTACCCACACAAGGTACCTTTGGAACAGTTTAACACGCCCAAGGCAATAGCTGAGGGTGTTTGGACTGTTTTGAAGGTACAGAGTGTGGGTAATTTTACTAATGCCCGAACAAAATGATGTGTATTATTTATTTTATAAGATTATGTTTTATTTGTTTTATTAAATGATGTTTTATAAACATAAGTGAAGAATGCTATAGGTTTATGCCACCATAAAATTGCACTCAAGGAAATGTGGGACTTTGTAATATCTTTGTTACAACATTATCTTGTTACCTTGAAATGTTTTTGTATATAATAGACTCCACTATCTCATAATCTTGTCGCACAATCTAAACTCACCTCCATCTTTTCTCCCAGCTGTCTGTACACTGCACCAATTATTAACCTAGGTGCTGCAAGAGGGAGAAAGAAAAACAAATTGCTGAATTTAACATTTGAAATTCCTTTAGCCTCAAGTGTATTTGTGAGAATTAGTTTGGCAAGATAAATCAAGTAAATTCCATGTTATCTATGAGAGGCATGCCACGATGTCAAATCTTTGTATGCCAACCATTAATCATATGCATTAACATTATATGATGGAGAGAAAAAAAGAGAATCCCTAAAAAATGATGGATTTGTGTTTTTTACACAAAACTTTTGCTCAATGCAGAATTTCACAACATCCCCCTCCCCCCTTCCAATGGTGGGTCTACCGTGTTCTGATAAAACACTGTGATGCAGTTTTGTTAAAAATCAAAATTGCAAAAAACAGGGGTTGGTCAAACTAGTGTACTGTTATGTCCCCCCCCCCCCCCCCCCCTCCCTTCCCCTCATAGCAAATATACAGTATTGGGATACTCACTTAAGCCATATTTGTCTCCCAGTCCATACACAGTTGCTGGCCTCAACACGCAGTAGTTTAACCTGTAGGATAAAGATGGAACATGTGATTCTATATCTATTGAAATGGTACAGTCTCTGGGGATTGGATCCCCTGTCAACCAACAAGACTAAACCAATAACAGGTTCTGTAAATACTGGCAGTCAAACCTTCAGTTGTATGAATTTATTATTAACAATTACTATTATATTTGTCTTTCTTCTGTCTTAAAAAAAAAAATCAGAGGACTTTAATAATATAGAAACATGGGACAGGAATAAAGAAAAATATCAATAAAAGGAGTGATAGACAGACAGACAGACAAATAGAAAGGGGAAGGAATAGACCAAAAGAAGAAGAGGGAAAAAAAGATATTGACATTGGGAAAGACACAAGGAAATCTTTGTCAGAGATGCCACTAATACCCCATTCACAGTGGTTTTGAAATTTGTAGCGGCGTTGTAGCGGAGCGGCGACACCGCCATAACACCGCTACAAATGCATTCACAGTAGAAAAGTTATCCCGCTGCAGCAGCGGGATAAATATCATGTACCCATTCACGCTGCAGCGGGTGATTTTTATTACCTCCGTAACAAACACGTGTATGCATGGCTCATGACCCGCAAGCTTGCAAAAGGTAAACATGTCACGTTGCTTTTTGTATCCTCGATCATATTACTTTTTAAAAAACTAGCATTTTTATTGCTTCCAGTCAGAATATTTTAATTTTTTGAAGTGTGAAATATTTTTATTTGGATAATTATAATATCTACATAATAATAAAATCAATTTGAATCCACTGGTTACTTTATTTCTATTTCACTTTATGTTCCCCATTGCTGGAGAAAAGAGGTCAGTGATAGGTAAGTAAACAAATCACACGTGTTTGTCGCGGTGTTATAGCGGAGAGCCTTCACACTGAGTAAACACCGCGACAGCAGCGGGACTGTCCCGCTGCTGTAGCTAGGCGAACCTAGCGATAGTTTGTCGCGGCGTTATCGCGAGGCGGTGTTATCCCGCGATAGTTTATAACGGGTCCGAGCCTTCACACTGAAGACAACACCGCGACAGCAGCGGGACAGTCCCGCTGCTGTCGCGGTGTTTGAGGCCACTGTGAATGGGGTATGAGAGTAATAACAATTTCCTGAACATTTTTGCAAGCATAGCGCACAATGACTGGGGTCCAGGGACAAAGGCACAGGGGTTTTGTGTTTCCAGAGTACAAAATAAAACAGTTTCAATGTTTGTAAATATGCTTTTTAAGAACTATGAATTCATTAATTTATACAACCTGCCATACACTTGCCGTAAGCACAGGGGCCCACCAATGTTCTGTATGAACTGCATTAACATCAACATTCGAGCATGGCAATGTTGGATTAGTGTTTATGCTGATCACTTCCTGAGAGTATGTGTTCATCAAGCAGTAATTTAAATTGATTAAATTGTGTTCATCTAGCTGAAAGAGCTCTTGAGAAAGAGAGAGAAAGAGAGAGAGAGAGAGAGGGGGAGAGAGAGAAAGACAGAGATTTTCTGTTCTTCCGGAAGCATTTTCATTTTCATTTTGAACAAAAATCAGGAAAAATTGCATCTCTGTTTCATGAAATGACTACAAGAGAGGTAGAGAATGACTGAGCACAACAAATGATAGCAAACATGACTTAAAGAGAGGTGGGCAGAAGGAAAGGCGCAAGATGACACAGAGAGAGGGAGAAAGAAGGAGATGGAGAGAAGAGGGAGAGAGGGAGAGAATAGGGAGAGTGAGGGAGAGTGAGGGAGAGTGAGGGAGGGGAAAGGAGGGGGGGGGGGGGGGCGAGAGACAGAAATACCACTCACCCATCAACCTTCTTGAGTTCTTCTTCCACTTGCAATTTACATTTAGCAATACCTGTCCATGGAGACAGCTTTGAGGAATCTTCTTTGCTGGATTTCTGAAATCAAGAATGATTCCAAACAGACCAAGAATTTTACGCAATAAGTTTTAAAAAGCTAAATAACATACAATATATTTTGTCTGCTACGGGCCAGAAGGATGTTCCTGTGTATTGTTTTACATGATTAAATGCCCTTTCAGTTCTAAGCATACACTTTTAATGATTTTAGAGGTAATGCCCAGAATTTACGGACCCTGCTTGTAAAAGGAGATAATAATATATATAGTCAAACTAATCAGTTAGGAACAGCATGTACATCCCACAAAACAAAGCTCTTAAACCAGCCACAAAATGACTGTTTCAACAAAACTAGAATGTCTAATTATTCAAATGTATCAAGGTTCAATATTTGACATAAGTAGATTTCAATAAACACGTTTAATATATCAAATAGGTAATTGGTGTAGATCACTTATTACATTTGTCACAAAAGGCGCGTCTTCATCATCTCGAGATTGCCAAATAGCCCGCTATTTCTGATTTGGGAAATAATCCTGAAGTGTTGATGAAGACGCAAATTAGCTGGATAGTTTGCGATCGGGATAGTTCAAATACCGGGTTATTTGGCAATCTCGAGCTAGTGAAGACAGGCCTATAGACATCAATATCTTTACACATGGAGACATTTGTAAACAGAAAAATCAGGCGTGATTTTATTATTTACTATATAAATCTTGGTACAGTCAAACCTGTCTAAAGCGACCATCCAAGGGAAACACAAATAGTGGCCGTTGTAAAAAGGTATGCATTGGCAGCCATTTTGATTTTGAATGATTGATTGACAGCACCCCGCCAATGGCCACTCACAAGGTCTCTCGAACCCACTAGTGAGGGCTCAGTCAGGCGAAAACTGACGTTTTAAATATTTTTTTTTGGTGTTAAAAAAAAATAATAATATAAAATTACAAAATTTTGAACATAATTTTTTATCTTTAAAATTGTCCGGCATTAAAAATAAAATGCATATCAAAAATTATTTTAAAGAAATGAATATGAACGAGCCTGAAAATTTGATTGACAGAAAGACCCCACCCACCCACCAAGCTGTGTGCGACAAACAAGCGAGTCATCGATTGCAATATTCATGACAATGACACTGCATTGTTATGTTTTCAATAGGCACAGCCCATAATGTAATGTGAAAGAAACAATATCCTGGCGGGAATTAAATGTTTTGATTGAAGTTTTAATAAAAGCTTGGGGTTGAATAGTTTTATTGTGTGTAAATGACTGTTAGATCTAGCTTTATAGGCTCTCGCTGTGCTGACGATCGCCTAGCTGTGAGCGAAAGTGATCATGCGCTGATGTGGCTGATCGTTATACGGCTGGCGTTGGCGGTCATTGTGTGGGCATTTTCGTTGGACAGCGGAAGCAAGATGAGTGGCTGGTGGTCGTGTTAGACAGGTGCTCGTTGTGTACAAGTGATCGTTACAGACAGGTGTTTGTTAACACAGGTTTGACTGTATCTACCTATTTTTTGCTGGTTCCCCTAAAGTACGCAGCCATTGAGAACTAAAAACTGCGCATGTCCCCCCAGTACATCGCCTTCCCCAGGGTCACGTGCACAAACACACGCCCGCCATCATCTTCTTTAACGAGCCGCCTGAGACAACACTTTAGACATGTTGCTCGGCAAGGAGAGGGGATGGAGGTGATATAGGTAGATACATAATAAAATAATAAAATCAGGTATGATTTTTCTGATTTACCACAATAAATCAATGTATCTACATATTATTTGCTAGACCAGCACAGATGGAATTAATGGCAGACGATGCAGCTCTTAGGGACGAAGTCACGAACAGTATTTCACCAGAAGGAACGTCCCTGAGATAAAAGGAAGTGAGGGAGGAGGGCCTCAGGGCCGGCAGCCTGGATGGCTTCGACAATCCATCTGGAAATGGACATCTTGGATGCAGGGGAGAAAGGTTCTCGGGTAATGAGGAAGAGCTGGTCGTCCTCACAATAACTCTTGATCCTGTCCAAGTACCATTTTGATGCCCTCAACAGGCAACAGACTTTGTCATTCTTGACCAAGGAGAAGTCAGAGAGAGGGTTGAGGAAAACCTCAACCGGCCCGTAGGAAACCGACTGGTTCTTTGCAATAAAGGAGGGCTGTTACACCAACAAATGTAATAACGCCCACAAATGTAATAACACTTTACCCACAAATGTAATAACACTTTACCCACAAATGTAATAAATTTGAAGGGATATTTTGTTGAATTTGTTCCAACCTAAAACCCTGTAATAAAGCATGGGTATAGCGCCCAGTCTTTACTCCAGACTTGGTTATTTCAAAAAATTTCAAAACTAAGACCCCATAATCCTTTTCCTGTGGAATAACTTGTTGTTTGTTGTTTTTAAAGTTTTAAGGGCGTGTGTCATTCAATTATGAATATTTACGCCGAATTCAAGTTTTTTAATAATTTAAAATAATTTTAAATGGAAGCAAAACAAAAAGGAGGGGAAAAAAAAATTGACGCTGTTCAATTTTTAGCATTTTGCGGAGATTCCAGACAGGCTGTCGACATAAAATAATTTAACCGTTTTGTGCGTATTTTCTGGCCATCCCGGTTCGGTGCATTGAACAGGCTTCTCGGCTTGCATGTTCATGCGCAGCCTAAGCCCCTCCAATACCGGCCAAGGGCTATGCGATGCCTGTCGGTGGGATGTCTCCTTTCCGGGAAAAAACAAAAGCAAACAAAAAACGAGAAAGAAATATAAAACAAAACCATTATAATTTAATTAGACTGAAAAACAGTTTTTGAAAATCTCAAATTAATCAGATATTTTGGGCTTCTTGTGCAAGGTGCAGTTAGTAATACCTTAATCTTAATAAAGTACAATACGTTACCTACGACCTATGTATTTATATATATTTATATGTGTTTATGATTAAATAGCCTACTATAATAGGCAAGACCAGTTTTGATCTACATGACATAATGAGGTATGGACGGTATAATTTAATTTCTTGATTTTGTGCTCGCATGAGTGCAGGTCGCTCAACAAAATGCAAAACACACCAGGTCCTTGAGTTGCTGGGTAACTCGCCTACTGGAAGGCAATAGGAAGCACCGACCTTAGACAAGCCAGACTGGGTTTCACCCCAGTTGTTGACCACACAGGGGATGACCACCTCCGTTGGCCCCAGTGCCCAATTTCCTGTGTGTATGTACCTGTGAAGTTAGCTGCATTATAGTTTCTCTCTTTAGTTTTATTTATTTATTTATTTACATTTTTATTTATCAAAATAGAAGAAAGAAAACAAAAAACAAAAAAAAATGATTTTAATAATCATCATGGTCATGATACAAAACAAAACACTATAGTATTGTAATTTTATGTCTTATATCCTTTTGTCATAATAATGTACATAACTTGTTGTTGTTGTTGTTTTAGTTTTAAGGGCGTGTGTCATTCAATTGTGAATATTTACATGAGAATCGAGCGTAGTCTTTCCTCCAGACCCGGTTATTCAAAAGTAAAAAAAAAAAAAAAAAAACTTTTAAACTAAGACCCCACCATCTTCCAAACTAAGACCCGGTAATAAAGCATGGGTTTAGATCGTAGCTTTTCTTCCAGACCCGGTTATTTCAAAACTTTTTAAAAATCTTCAAAACTAAGACCCCATCATCTTATTCCTGTGGGAGAACATGAGTATTGAGCATAGTCTTTCCTCCAGACCCAATTATTCAAAAGTAAAAAACAAAAAACAAACAAACAAAACAAAACAAAACAAAAGAAAACCCTTTTAAACTAAGACCCCTCCATCTTCCAAATTAAGACCCGGTAATAAAGCATGGGATTAGAGCGTAGTCTTTACTTCAGACTCGGTTATTTAAAAAAAAAAAAATCTTCAAACTAAGACCTCACCATCTCATTCCTGTGGAATAACATGGGTATAGAGCGTAGTCTTTCCTCCAGACCCGGTTATTTCAAAAGAAATAGAAATTTAAACAAATCTTCGAAACTAAGACCCACCATCTTATTCCTCTTTTTTTTTCATTTAAAAATAAATTACATTATTACATATGTGGATACAACACGTCAGAAATATACCTTTTTATACGTAATAATTATTTTGGTTCTGTTACCGTCTGTATATTAATGAAACAACCTCTTCATTCGTTTGGAATAAAATACTTTCTATCTTACAAAATCTATGTATCCATCATTGCATCACTATAAAACCATAACCTCTCCAATTTACTTACATTGATTGAGAGAGTATATAGATATTTTATCAAAGGGTTCTGCAATCGTTCATTCAAACCATGCAAATATGTTTCGCGTGATCTCGTTATACAGCTATTTATGAGTCATAATATGAAAGTATGCGTTGTTATTTGCTTGTTAACCGATTATCAATCAGCGTCAATATTTAAATACATTTAAGGTCACTTATTTGATTTTTTTTTTCTACGAACATTGAATTCCAGGATATTTGTGGGCGTTAGAATATTTACATGATTAAAAAATCGTAGACGGTCAACGGACCATCGAATCGGTCCCTCCTCTGTGTGTTATATATATGGACCATTTTGACTGATTCGTCAGTTCGTGTGACCGCCGACCAATCATTTATTTGTGAAGTGTTGTATCCACATATGTAATAATGTAATTTATTTTTAAATGAAAAAAAGAGAGGAATAAGATGGTGGGTCTTAGTTTCAAAGATTTGTTTGAATTTCTATGGAAAGACTACGCTCTATACCCATGTTATTCCACAGGAATGAGATGGTGAGGTCTTAGTTTGAAGATTTTTTTTTTTTAAATAACCGAGTCTAAAGTAAAGACTATGCTCTAATCCCATGCTTTATTACTGGGTCTTAATTTAGAAGATGGAGGGGTCTTAGTTTAAAAGGTTTTTTTTTTTAATTTAATTTTTTTTAAATTTTAATTTTGAATAACCGGGTCTGGAGGAAAGACTACGCTCAATACTCATGTTCTTCCACAGGAATAAGATGATGGGGTCTTAGTTTTAAAGTAGATATTCATTGATTTTAAAAACTAACTTTATTTTCATTATTGCAAAGTTGAAACTTTGATTCAACAAAGTTATCAAAATTCAATGCTTGCAAACATTCGAAGTAATGATTGTTATAAATTACAAAACGCTTGAATACAGCCCCGGCATAGCATCTGAAGAGCTCTCCAAACGCTGCTGAGATGTGTGAGATCACAGTATGGACATGACTTGCACAAGCAGACGATGTCCCATGACATCTCACACATTTTCAGTGTCCTTTTCTGTCACTTGTAAACAAAATAAGACGCTATTGTATATTCAGCTGCACACACCGGGGTATGTTCGGCGTACAAGAGGGAACAAATGCCGTCCTTAATATCATTCCGGGGTTTTTTCAATTTGAAAGTCTGGTTTCTTTGATTGTTAATTAACCCCTATCCTGTGTATTTACAAGCAAAAGATTTCAGTTATCAGAATCGGGTCATATCCCCTTTTGAATGGTTTGACATGCCATTACATTTATATACACTAAACTCATTATAATTTGAGAAATAATAGCTTTGCAATTATGTTCATTCTCTATGGGATGTCATCTGCTTGGGCAGTGTTGGTCCATATAGTGACGTCATTAAAACATCGTTATTTTTCCGGCGAATCTCTCGTATATCCCAGCTGCTATGGAGGTGGTTGTATTTGTACTTTTATAATTCACTCGATATGTAGTTGACCTAAAACTTGTACGATGGCCATCTGTTAGCTTACCAGTTTCTAGTGATACATTAGTTGACATATTTGTGATCTTTTTTGAAGTTCACCTTTAAAGATTTTTTAAAAGTTTTGAAATAACCGGGTCTGGAAATTAAACTACGCTCTAAACCCATGCTTTATTACCAGGTCTTAGTTTGGAAGATGGTGGGGTCGTCTTAGTTTAAATTTTTTTAAAATTTTTTAAAAAACTTTTGAATAACCGGGTCTGGAGGAAAGACTACGCTCGATTCTCATGTTATTCCACAGGAAAAGGATTATGGGGTCTTAGTTTTGAAGATTTTTTAATATTTTGAAATAACCGGGTCTGGAGTAAAGACTGGGCGCTATACCCATGCTTTATTACAGGGTTTTAGTTTTGAACAAATTCGACAAAATATCCCTTCAAATTTATTACATTTGTGGGTAAAGTCATTATTACATTTGTGGGTAAAGTGTTATTACATTTGTGGGTGAAATTATTACATCTGTGGGTAAAGTGTTATTACATTTGTGGGTAAAGTGTTATTACATTTGTGGGTGTTATTACATTTGTGGGTGTTATTACATTTGTGGGCGTTATTACATTTGTGGGTGTAACAAGGGCTTGGGTATAAGTCTAACACCCTGTCTCTCCCACCTGATATGGCCGGAGGAGGTACACAGGGCATGGAGAGTACTCCTCCTCTGCCCTTTCTCTATTTATGTATGTTATATACAAATGTAATTATTTTATTATTATCTGTAATGTTCGTTTACCAGCTGAGCACCCAATGTATGATAATTTAAGTACGTGTACTTTTGTCTACACTGTAAGAAAGGAAGGGACAATATAAACAGCACCATCGCATGTTTATTATTATTTTTTTTTTTTTTTTGGATTCATTTAGACTGGTCACTATTATATCCATCCTCCATTTATTACCACAAACTATTTCACTCAAAGAGGGGCTATGACAACACCTCAAGAACCTTAGGTAGGCTCCAAGCAGGAGAGAGCTTCGGGTTAGCTGGTCATTGTAGAAAAAACGATCGCAGCAACTTAAGTCAGGAAATTTGAGACTCCTGAGCTGTCCTGAAAAACCGACATGAATGGCGGCTATGGTCGAGCAGTATCCACAGATATTGGAAAGGGCTCTACCCTTATCAAATAAGGAGATTAGAAAATTTGCAATTGCGCCCACTGGAAAAGGCTTCCAGGCGAGAGTTGTAAACCGACCTAGTGGAGTCTCTACAACTCTAAACCTCAGAGAGTCCTGAAACCTTAGCGTCTTCCCCTACAACGACCAGGTGGTTGATGATGTAGGATCCCAAAAGAGGCTGGGACACTTGGTCCGAGCCTCAGAAGGAGAGGGAAAGGATGTTCGTCCAAGAAAGACAGGAGTCCGGGGAGCAAGTTGCTTCAAAACAGCTCTACGGACTCTGATGTGTCCAAGAGATATTTCTTAAGAGAAGCCTGCGTATCAGTCCCCAAGGACTGGTCAGCTGCCAGGCTTAGGTCCACTGAGAACCAATCACAGATGCCAAAGTCAACTGCAAGATAGGGTTCCAGACAGGCTCGCGGAAAACAAAACCCCAGAGGGGGGGGGGGGGGGGGGTCCGAATCCTGCTACCAACTCCTCCCTTGGAGCAGAGTAGCAAGGGTGGGAGATGGGCCCTAGCCAACATCTACTGGCAAAAGGCCAGGAGAGAAAGGCTAGCCACAGCACAGAACCGGATTACACCAGACAAGTGATACACAGGGCATTTGTTAGGCCCAAAGACTGGTGTCTTACCGTATTTGCCAGCGTAAAGGCCGCAGTATTTTTGGAAGAGAAAATATCAAAAAGTCGGGGTGCGGCCTTTACGACGAAAGAGTAAAAAAAAAAAAAAAAACGAAAGTCAAAACCAACACGAATTTCCATGTATGAGACTACAAACGGTAAAATAACAATACCACTATGGTACAGGACATTTCCAAACATCTTACCGACAATTTAATCTTGCATTGTTGACATGAAGACGAAAATAAACGTCCTAACAAAACATTTGCCGATAGATCTTGATCTAAATTCGTGCCAATGCATTGCAAAGGTAAAGGAAGGGGCAGTCTAACGGAGCTGCCGCGAACATCCATCCGAAGTCGCCATTTTGTTTTTCCATTTCATGCAGTTTCGCATTACACCGTACATTGTGGTAGGGGTATATCAGACACCTAATCTGCCTGCGACCACTTTTTTAGCTAAACTTCCGGTAAATTATAAGAATATGGATGAATTTGGTATCAGTTTGTAAAAAAAAAATAGTGTTTTCGAGAAAATTATGATTATTTTGTTTTGTCCGTTGTTTTTTCCCCCTCTTTGAAATGTCAAAGTTTGGGGTGCGGCCTATGCGGCGGTGCAGCCTTATCGCCGGCAAATACGGTAGTCTGTTTGTTTAGTTAACGGGTGACATAGCAATCAATAGCTGTTTTGGAGCAGGATATCCTTGACTTGAATGATTTCTGCTGCTAGTTTGCAAGGAGAGCAAATTCTCTGTGCTGTATCAATGTGGATATTGATGAGACCAATTTTGTACCGGGTAGGACTGAAAGAGTCTCAGCGCATGTACTGAATGTAGGTTTCCGATAGACGGAAGTAGTGAAGCCGTGCGGTGACTCTTACCAGTGCATCAAGAAACGGAAGCGCGTCATCACATTCAATCTCGATTGTGTATTTGAGAGACGGGTGGAGGGCATTAAGGTGTGCAAGAAAGTTCTCACACGCTGCTCTGCTTCGGAACATAGCAAATGTATCGTCTACATAGCAATAGTACACTAACGGGGTTAGTTAGGGGCTTATATTAACGAATGCACGCTTTCGTCTACAAAGATATTCGCGTGTATAGGGCCCAACGGCAAGCCCATAGCGACACCCTCAATCTGTGCATACATGACGATGTTGATATATACCCTGATAACATGAACGTGCAGAGTAGGGCTCAATCCGCAGCACTAATGTCATTTGGCAAGACATTGATCTACACTTGCCACTCTCCACACAGGTGTTAAATGGGTACCTGTAGGAAGGAATTCCTTGAAATGCTGTGAGCGTCGAAATCGGCAGCCTAGCATAGCCGGGTAATGTTGGAGCGCCTTGAGGACCTTGCAAGGTCGATACTTGCGCTATATAAGAATCCAATATTATTAATATTATTATCAAAATCATTTACTGATGGCTTAACAACCATTAGATGCAAACTATTTTTTAAACCTTTAAATTTTAAAGTGTGAAGAAAAGTCTGTCAACAAAGATTATGTTATGCACTACATAAGTGTACAGAGTACAGCAGGGGAATTTCCTTGTCAAAGCATCGTAAACATCAAGACTTAACCAGGACAAAAAGAATATATGAAATCATAATTCTTTCATCTAAAGAATAGAAATCCTAAGCCTTGGCTCAGTGTTATGAACATGCTTGCTATAGATTAATTTATTACGATGCTCACTTCATCTTCATCATGGAGTGAGCACATGACAACATAATTCACATAGTGCGCCATGTGAGGCAATGGAGGGGTTTACTCTATAACGTATATGAACTTAAATTGATGCCCTATTTGCTTTTACAGGATGTGTTGGTGATCATTTCTATGGCAGCTTCATCAAAGCAAATTTCATTTTGTTTAATGTTCAATACAAATCATATGTTTATTGAAAACAGTTAGATGGTTTGGAAAAATAAGTAGTGACTCCGTCCTAATGGAGACACTACACAATAATACTACACGTACCTTGTCTGAAGAATAGACTTGACCTGTTGATATCTCAATATATTTCTTGACATTTCTGGCTGCTGCTTCACGGGCACAATTCTGGCTGAGCTTTACTATGCCTTCCTCATATATCTATCAACAAAATAAAAAGAATGACTAAAATCATTTTAGACAAATGTTTCATCCAGCATTTTTTTCACTGTTTAAACTACTTTGGATGGACATCTTCTCATACATTTTAATTGTATCTTTGACCCCCCCCCCAAAAAAAAAGGCAAATTTAATTCAGTGGCCTCACATTAGGGGAGTGGTGTATTCTGCCCCCCCCCCTTTCTCTCCACCATGAAATAATTTAAATAGAGCACATTAAATGAAGTCCATGAAGTATCATGTCTACAAGTATTGGAATTATCATATACTAATCATTCAAACATGCAAAATGCATGTTTTTCTACTTACTACATCTGCTCTACCATACTGAGTCTCAGCTGCTAGGTTGACCACAATATCATACGAGTCATCCCCATCAGAGAATGCTTTAGAGACCGAACCTGTAAAACATACACATTTGTCAACTCACTGGAAAACAAAGCTGGATACCTCAAATCTAAATCATGTCATTTTCATTTAAATCAATCCAAACTAAACATGGAAAATTGACAACAGACCGATATAAATGATAATTAAGATTTTTTAAATTTTATTCTGAAGATGCCATTGTGATACTTGGGTTCAGTATCACATTTTTTGTAATGTAACTCAAGAATGAAAGGTGGACTGGTTGAATTAAAGCCTTTGTTGAATACTTTTAGATCTAAGCTTTGATATGTCATTCTCACAAAACATAAATCGGGACCAATCAATTTTTCACATATTTTACCAAACTTGGTAAGGGTGTGAATAATTTAGATTTTAACTGTATACACAGTATATTGAAAGGTTCCAGAAATCTTGTAATGATTGAAAATAGATTTTGACAGTAGGAAAAAAAAAGGCTGAACCTGGGTTCATTATAAGACAACAGAAAACATGATATCTGCCAGATGATGTTGTACAGTGTATCATAGCTTAGTGATGAACAAAGAAGGATTAGAAAATCATTCAGTACCCGGAATTATTTAACATGGTTTCATGAGTGCAAGTTGTGGTCATCAGTGGATTTGATTTCCGGCATGTTTTCAATGATTAACAATTCAGAAAAATTTCTAGCCAGTGTCTATTGAAATGCATTTCCATTACCACAGCACAGCTCAAGATAAGGTTTAAGTGCATCATTGAGAACAACAACTAAATAGTGTTAGTATCTGGGTAGTACGTACCTGGATTGATGAGATTAACAGAGACAAAGTCCACACTTTCAATTGCTTCCTGTAATAGGAAACCACAAGAAGGATATTGCTAACACACAATTACAATTGCAACAAGGAATTGATTCATCTCCTTCTCCATCAAAGTAAAGTTCCAAGAGCGAGTTATCAAAAGTAAATTTCAAAGTTGTGAATAGTTCCTGAAATATGAGTAAATTAACCAATATGGTGCAACATAGTTTACAGAAATGCATTATAACTACAATTGTTTGAAATACATGTTATATATCACATACATGTATGTAGACACAGTGGACCATATTTATAAAAAACTGAACTAAATTACATCTTATTTATTGAGCGCAGATTGTCAACCTCATTAATCTGTAAAAATGTTTGCAGTAAATAACTAATAAATTAATCATGATTTCAACTGATTATCTAAATAGCATATTAAAGTGCAAACAAAATTTGACAAAATAACTCTTCCCACAAAACAAAATAAAATGACACACGTGTATAGTGGACCTCATATTTGTGTATTTTTCATGTACAGATTGGTGAGTATGCTTTGGGGAATATTCGATATACTTTTTTGTAACGTTACAGTTGGAAATGCCCCCCTCTCAAAAAATTAAATGGAAGCTCTTATTACCAATCATGTGAAGAATATGTTTTGACTATAATAAGATGATACAAATTTTGCAAAGAAACTGCCTACAAGCTTAGCTTTCCAAAATTTATGATATAAAAAATTTGCAGAAATATATTCCCTAGTATACAATATTTCCTGTGATATATCAGACATAAGCCATAGGGGAATTTTGCATGTAACATCAGTCGTGATGCATTTGCATCTCAATAACCGCACCTTTGTTTCAAAATCCCAATGGACTTGTAGTGGCTTGTGTGCTCACTTCCGTCAAAATGGCAAGACAATGTATACAAATCGCGTTGCTGTTTTCAGGATCTATACAATTTCCACATGAAATAATGAAGTAGTTTCAAATGCTTGTTTGAAAACATTATGAAATAAATTGTCATTTTGAAATGAGACCTTCCGAAAAGTGTGTTCTTTTTTCTCTGACATACAGTTTACTAAATTATTCATACCCTTACCAAGTTTTGTAATGTGAAAAACTGATTTGCCCCAAAGAAATTAAAAGTAAGGTAATAGGTGAGATTCCAGTCAGATTACCTACCCAAATACCGAGCATGATGTAAGAAGAATATTTGCAAGCTTACACACACACAAGTCGCCCGGACCAGACGGAATGAGTAACAAAGTACTGAAAGTATGTAAGGATCAGTTGGCCCCAGTGTTTACTAAACTATTTGAGAAATCTCTTAGTCTAGGTATAATCCCCCATTTATGGAAACGATAAATAATCATTCCTATCCCAAAAGAAAAACAACAAAAGAAATGAATGATTTCAGACCCATATCCCTTACATGTAGCGTAATGAAATGTTTAGAGAAGATTGTGTTGAAATACCTCATGAGACAAGTTGAGGATGAGATAGATGTGTTGCAGTTTGCTTATAGGGAAGGTAGAGGTGTAGATGATGCAATCTTGACATTTCTACATAATATCTATAATCACGTGGACCATAATTTCTATTTATACCAGTAATTGTGTATGCACAACTTTAAACTGTCAAATGATGAAGTATGCAGATGATACAGTAATCTCAGGCTATATGTCAGACATCAGAAGTGAAAATGATTATGTCACTAGTGTAAACAGGTTTGTTGAGTGGTGTGAACGGCACTACCTCAAGATTTAACGTCTCAAAGACAAAGAAATGATCATAGATTTTCGGAGAAGTCCACAAGCAAGACCACCACTTACCAGGGGTCGGTGGTGGAAAGAGTTCACAATTATAAGTATTTGGGAACAGCGGTATGTGATTCACTTGACTGGTCATGCAATGTTACCTTGCTAAGAAAAGTGCAATCAGAGTATGTACTTCTTAAGAATGATGAGAAAGATACATGTAGAAAAAACAATTCTGATTCTGTTTTACAGATCATGGATAGAGAGTATTGCTAGATACAATATAATATGCTATTGAGGGAATGTAACTCAAAAAGATAAGAAGTTAGACAGTACAAGGAGAGTAGCACAACAGATAATTGGCAATAGCCTACACGCAGTATCCACACTGTATGAAGAAAGAATAGTTGCTAAAGTCAAACGAATCATGAACGACTCCACCCACCCGCTTTGTCCTAATTACTATTACAATAGGTCAGGCATTCGTTTGTGTGCCCAGGTGCGCTCGAGCGAGAACTCAGCATTCATTCATACCAAACTTCATCCACATGTACAATGGAAAGTCTCAAAGACCCAGTGTTGTTCTTTAACATTATTCATAATTACTTATTCCCAAAATTGGTTCAAGACGTAAATACACATACATGTATGGGTGTCCGACCTTCTGTGTATATTTCTTTTACTTGTTCATTCGTTTGTTCATCACCTGACATCTGCTCTTGCTTTGCTTTAATAGAGTCCTAATGTTATGAACCAGAGCACTATAACACAGAGTTCCCATACATGCATAGGACATCTATTTATTAAGATGGTCATGTCTCAGCCAATACTTAACATATTCAATTGGTTTTCGACATTCAGACATTATTTTTGATGCTCTTTCGAAAAATGAAGAAAAAATTGAGAAATTCTAAAAATAGCTTTTTGATGACGTCACACTTCACCGCTCTATTACTGTGACATCTATTGTCCTGAATTTGTGTTTATTACACAATGTTAGACCTTCTGTTAATTATGCTGAAAAGTAATATAAAGCTTTGGTTTGGGGTCATGAATTTAGTTCAAATGAACATATTGGAAGTATATTCGGTCCTACAATATTCAATGATCGTTATCGTGGTTGAAATCGATACTAAAGTTATGAAATTGTAAATAATAAACTCTTTATGTTGTATAGCTCCCTCTCAAGGTCAAGATATTAATTAAGCTATAAAACAATGTTTCTTGACTAAAATCGACCGATCAGCTATTCCTGTTTGGAAATTATATATCCCAACTACATATTCTGAGATTTTCATGGTCGCAGCTATATTGTACGGCCGTAGGCGCTAATTGAAATTAATCAAAATTTACCGGGAGCACCGGTAAATTGTTATATTCAATATTTCTCGAAAACAGAAGTGTTTTAGGGGCTAAATTTTCTAGTGCTTATAATACATCCACAGGGGCATCAAAATATATCAAAATTGTAGATAATCACTATCCACCCAATTTTCAAAATTTCCCAAAATTTTGTATTACCTTTAATAATCTGTTAAACCTTGTGGCCCGAATTCACAAAGCAAGGTTTGAGCTCAGACCAAGGTTTGAGCTCAAACCTCCTTTTGTTTCGCCAAACCTCCTTTAGTTCTTTACAAACCAGGTTTGTAAAAAATGCGTAAAACGCGTCATATGACGTACGAAAACCTTGGTCTGAGCTCAAACCTCCTTTGTGAATTCAGGCCTGTAAGTTTACTGTTTTAATGTTAATGTTTAACATTTTTGTAAATTCATTTGTAAATGTTAATTTGTATATGTTACACCAGTGAAAATCAAATCTCCATAAATGGACAATAAATACTAAATTTATATTTGAAGAGATAAGTAAGATAAGATAAGTAATTGTTATCTACTTTTAAAACTATGCTTGCATTTTTCCCTATAGGTGAACTGCTCATGTCAAAATGATTGAAACATACATCAGTTGAAGAAGTAAGTAATTCCTTAGTTACATAAAGAACAATAGGTTTGTTTTGCTTCGTGTTTTCAAAAGATATTTTGAATACATAATCGTAGCATTTACGAATGAAGTACATTTATTAATTTAACATATGTTAGAGGTGATTTTCTTGCAGAAATTGTGAATTAAAATGACTTCAATGGAGAAGTTTGTCGTAAAATGCAAAAGTGACAGCTATATTATGTATACACTTAATGGCCTACTATTTAATGCGCTATTTTTGTAACATACATGTATTTTAAAAATGCTACACCTTACAAAAAATAAGCATAACTTTGTAGCTTTAAATTAAATCCTCCTCAAGTTCACAAAGCATAGGAGATATTACTACAATATCACATGTGAAATTAAATTGAAGATAATCAAGTAGTCATCTTTGTCAATGTTTATAATGAAGTGAATTTGATGATGATTGCCCTCGGTTTAATTTTACCCTCTTTATCAGGTACTGGTTCAACATGACTTGGCACATGATGGCTCCTGGTGATGTCCTGCAGTGAAAGTTCGACACACAAGTTTTTTTTTGTGCTATAATCACATACTCTCTGACGTGTGTTCTCATTCTCTTTTTTCAAGCACTCCAAACAGAGGAATGCACTTTCTTCTAGAATAATGTTCCTGATAATGGAGCCATTTCTCTAACCATTTGTTTCTCTCCTCTGACATCTGTTCTTTCTTTTGAAGATTCAAATGGGTTCAAGTGAAAGTGACTGGTGAGTGAATGCAAAGCAGAGACAACAAAAGTGATGCAGTGGGACCAGGCTAAACTGTTCTCTTTCAAAAAAAAGAAATCAGTGCACAGTTTATTCATAGAAAAACAACATCTGTCACCATTTTCAGTCCAGGCAATGATAGGGGATGTTAAGAGACTTACATAGGTATATTGTCCTGCCATCAGTAGAACTTGATAATATACATCCTTGTTTGAGACAATACAGAGAAATATAAGACACCCTTTCTTGCACCTGCACTTTGATTGAATTTCATTCACATTTTCCATTTAAGGTTTTTGTTGATTAGTAATCAAAATTACGCAAATTGCTCAAAGTTGCCCCTTGGGCAACAAAGCTGAAATTGTTCTGGGACCACTGAAGTTTACAAATGAACAAAAAACCTTCGACACATAGAATTTTCCTAGGTTCACTATGGACTCTTTCAGAGCATCAATAGAACTAATTAGGCCTACTTTCAGACAGCTCTTTCATAATGTAAATCCCTCAACTTTTATTATCTTATACTGTTTTTTCCCTAATAGGTTATCTTGTGCAATATGAACGTTTCTGAATGAGGAAGACAAACTTCTTGGTTTACATTCTGCATCATGAAGTGATTTACAGCTCAAAATATTCATATTTAATCATAAACTATACACATTTCCTTCTCAGATTCCACAAACATTCTTATTTTTTCTTTCTTCCTTCCTAGTTGAGAATATCATGCCATTCCAAGCAGTAACAATGTAAGCTGCCATGTCCTCATCTCTGACTATTTTTTACCTACAGTTTTCTTTTTTCTTCTTTATCTTAAAGGTAATGGGTATTTTGCAAACAAAATTATATCTCCTCCATTTTTTAATAGTGAATTCCAAAGCACTTCGGAGTCTATTGTGTTGTTTAACCCTAACTCATTTATTAATGTAAGCATCATCCTTTTCACTTTTAATGTTTTTTAAATCTCCATTTCCTGCAGGTGACTCCTACACACTTTGTTTAGAATCCAACCTTGGGTTTCCCAAGAAGAAGAAGAAAATGTCCTATATTCAATATTTAGTAATGCATGAAAAAGGATTTTCTGTATAGCACTTAATAACATTGTAGATGTATGAACAGCTATATATCCAGACTAATACTATAATTATTATGAAGATCATTTATATGCATGACACATGAAATAGTCCCTACCTTGTGTTTGTCATTCATCCATGCCATCTGAGGGGGTGTTTTGTCAGCCACGCGGATCTACATGAAGATGGGAAAAATATTAATAAGAATAACAACAACACCACCACCAGCTGTACCGCTAGCTATGTTCATGATGTAATAATACTAGCCTCAACATGGTCTAACATTCAAAGCAATTTTATATGTCAGCTGGTACACATAATAGCTAGTTATTGGTTGAGAGTGTAATGTGGATCAATATCCTGCAAAAGGACATTTGTGACAGGCTGGGATTCCAACCTGCAACCTCTTGACAGAAATTCAAGTTTTAATAAACTCAGAGCGTACAGCAAACGGCGTACCCATATGTAACTGCATGGCACACAGGCATCAGGCGAGTAGATCTATCAAACTATATACCACTGCATGTACATGTGGTAACTTATCACACCATTAAAGCAACAAAACCGTTTTCATGATATTTTGCAGGCAGTGTTGGCCCACATACTATTACTATACATAAAAAACTTCAAGGTTCCATTCCTGTAGCTTTGCCCCCCCCCCCCCCTCTCCCTCCCCAACTGCCTCATCCAATTACACTGGCAGCCATGTACAGTTAACTGAATTATATACACCCTTTACAAGGTTATTTTTAGTTTTTTAATTTTGTGAAAAATTGATTAGTCCTGTGTAATGTTACTTGAGGATGTGATAAATCGAAGCGTACATCTAAAAGTATTACAAAAAAGACCCAAATTCAACCAGTCCACATTTCATTCTTGATGAGTAACGAAGAACACAAAAACATAATGTTGCTGTTAATTGTCTATCAAAAGAAAAATACCAGAATTTGTGTAAATTTACCCAGGGTGATGTCAATATTTTAACCGGAATAAAGTTGGTTCCGGGATATATCCTTTACAAACCTCTGCGGGAACACATGGTAAAATCAACCAGATTTGTGTAGACCTAATTGGTATTTGAAACATTAAGTTTAATCTGTTTTTTCAGTATATAAACAACAGACCTTTTATGGTCAGGAGGGTGGTATGATGCATTCAGCTATTTTTATAATTTTCAAGAACAGCCTGGTCCCCGTTTCAACAGCAGACTATATGCTAATAAAATAATTGCATTTGAATGGCTGAAAGCAATTTGACATTGATAAGAAGGTTTATGAAACAGGGTAGATTTACCTTAGAACAATGGATATTGGATAATCATGCATAGTTTGCTGACTTGCCAGCAATGCCCCTAGTAAAATTATCCTGACACTATAAACGTTGATGTTTGAGGAAAAAGCCATAGTTGGTTCCGGGATATATCCTTCTGTTTAGACTGCCCAATTACCTGATTTTGGGATCTCTTTTTTCACCCTGTTAAGATAATGATAATGAAACCGATTCCTGATCAGGAAGGCGTCTTGGGACAGGCAATCATTTAACAGATGTTTAATTGCATTAGCACCTTAGCACAATACCTTAGCACCACTTTCTCTCATCTTTACAATGTTACCCAGTCCCTTTAAGATGCTTATGACAAATTCTTATGTATACTATCAGTCATTTGCTTTATCAAATTTGCAAAGTTGTGGATCATTGAACATGTCAAAATTGTTGCCTATCATAGCATGGAAATTGTATGGATCTGGCATGATAAACATTTCTCAAGGCACTTCTGAACGCTAATCATGACAAAACAAGTCAACGCAAAGCGTAGCATCCCCTCGCAGGGTACAAATGGCCTATATACTTCAGAACAAGTTACCTCCATTGGACTATACCATTATATTACTAGGCAAGGAAGTTAACCACATTTTCACTTATATAATTACTGGTAGGTGTTTTTGCATATTTAATGAGCTATGACCTTTTACCTTTGACCTACTTACTCAGAAATCGAACTTAGGCTGTACATGTATTTTGATACCATGTACCTTCATATTAAATTTCATTAAAATTCGTCAAACATTACTCAAGTTATCGAATGGAAACCAGATTCGCATATTTAATGAGCTTTGACCTTTGACCCACATACTCTGAAATCGAACTTAGCCTGTATTTTGATATCATGTACCTTTGCATCAACTTTCATTAAAATCCGTCAAACATTACTAAAGTTATCGATCAGAAACCAGATGTGTATTTTTCCGCATATTTAATGAGCTATGACCTTTGACCTACATAATCCAAAATCGAAGTTAGCCTGTATTTTGATATCATGTACCTTTGCATCAACTTTCATTAAAATCCATCAAACATTACTAAAGTTATCGATCAGAAACCAGATGTGTATTTTTCCGCATATTTAATGAGCTATTACCTTTGACCTACATAATCCAAAATCGAACTTAGCCTGTATTTTGATATCATGTACCTTCATATCAAATTTCATTAAAATCCGTCAAACATTACTGAAGTTATCGATCGGAAACCAAATTTGTTACGAACGGACGGACACACGGACGGACGCACGCACGGAAGAACAGACGGCAGCATTACTATATCCCCTCCGACTTCGTCAGCGAGGGGATAATAAGACCCCTTTCTCCCTCATCCTGTCTACGTTAGATCGGTCTAACTGTGAGTGTGAAAGCACAATCGTGTTTGGAAGCACTCTGCTGAACCCGTTTGCTTCCTAGACCGCTCCAGACCGCTCTAACATGCAGTGTGAGACCAAAATGTGCCAGGAATCATACTGCAACCGGAAGTTAGTGCGTTTTGGCAGGAAAGCAATTAAAAAGAGAGAGCTTACAGTAAATAAAAACAGAGAATAACATTTATAAGTAAAGGTAGAAACAGAAGATGATAGAAAGATAAAGAATAACAAAGGAAAGATAGAAACAGAAGATGATAGAGGGGAAGAAAAAAAAACATAAGAAAATGCAAGTAGAGAAGAGAATATTCAGAGCGTTAAGAGGATGAATAGCATAGGGAGGGATTATAGACAAGGAGATGATAGAAGGAAAAACAAAGAATAACAAAAGAGATGATAGAAGGAAAAACATAGAATAACATAAGGAGAGGCAGAAAGAGAAAATGATAAGGAATAGAAAATTGAAAGATAGAAGAGAGGATGAAAGATGGAAAAACAAAATATGACATAAAGTAAAAACAGAAATAGAAAATAATAGAAGGAAAACAATCAATAACATAAGGAAAGATATAAAGAAAAAATGATAGAATGATGAAAACAAAGGATAACATGAGTAGATAACAGGAAAAAAAAGAATTACATAAGGAAAGACAGAAAGAGAAAATGGTAAAGAATAGCAAATGGAAAGGAAAAAGAGAGGATGAAAATGGAAAACACAGAAAAACGTAAGTAAAACAGAAGGAGAAAATGATAAAAGGAAAAACAAAGAAAATCATAAGGAAAGATAGTAGGAGAAGTTGATAGAATGGTAAAGATATAGAATAAGAAAGGGAAAGATAAAAATAAAAAACAAATAGTAATTTTGTGATGGAAACAAAACAAAACCATGACTTACGGACCGCCGTATATACATGCTATTATGTTATGCCATAGTAACAGAAACCGTTCCTGTTGCTATGGCATAACGTGTCCCATCATGTTAAAAAATTACGATAAGTGTGAAACCAAACGAACCGTACCTCTGGATCGGTCCAGCGAAGTGAGTTAGAAAGGGGTGTTGATCAGACCCCGTTCTCACTCACTTCCTAGACTGATCCAGGCTAGATCGGTCTAACTGTGAGTGTGAACAGACAAGCGGTCCAGGAAGCGATCTTCTGGACCGGTTCACTTCCTTGATTGCCCCAGACCGATCTAGCGTGCAGTGTGAACATAAACCTTGCCAGGAAGCAACTTCAACCGGTAGTGTGCGTGTTTTTGGCGGGAAAGTAATGAAAGAGAGAAAGAGATTACAGTACACGAATACAAATAGAGAATAATCTAAGGAAAGAAATGATAGAATGATAAAAACAATAAATAACATGAGAGAAGGTGATAAAAGGAAGGAAAAAAGAATAACATAAGTAAAGACAGAAAAAGAAAGTGGTAGGAATGATAAAATCAATAAATAACATAAGAGATGGCGATAGAAGGAAGGAACAAAGAATAACATATTAAAGGAAAACCAGATAGAGAAAGTGATAGAATGATAAAAACAAAGAATAACATAAGAGAAGGTGATAGAAGGTAGAAACAAAGGATAACACAAGGAAAGACAAAAGGAGAAAATGATAAAGAACAGATAATCGAAAGCTAGAAGAGAAGATGAAAGATGGAAAATCAAAGAATAATCCAATCCAATCCAAAAGATATTTGATAAGCGCCACAGCTCCACATTCCACAATGTTAGGGCCACTTAAAAACAAAAGTTAGTCACTTCTCAGAGATCAGTCATAACATAAGAAAAACAGAAAGAGAAAATGATAGAATGAGGACAAAGAATAACATGATGAAAGATAGAAAGGGGGAAAAATGATAGAATAATAAAAGAAGAATAACATAAGTGAAAGGAAAAACAAAGACTAAAATAAGGAAAGACATAGAGAGAAAATGGTAAATAATAGAAAATTAAAAATTAAAAGATAGAAAGGAAGATGAAAGATGGAAAAACAAAGGATAATATCGGAAAAATAGGGAAAAAATGATAGAACGACAAAAATAAATTATAGCAGAGGATGAGGCACTCCATTCGGTTTTAAATTCTGCACAAAACATTTGACCCGCTGACCTTTGGTACCCCAGCAACAGGAGTGATCTAGCTCATTCAAGCTTTACCATAGCAACAAGAGCGGTCTAGCTCGTGAGTGTGAACATAAAAATTCCTTTTTTTGCCATCATGATTCCTTTTTTTGGTCGCACAAGGTTGGCAGCTCTGTTTAATAAGGCCTGTTATTTTGGGAAGAAAAAATATCAAAAAGTCTGGGTGCAGCCTTTGCGCAACAACTAAAAATTTAGCGGTCAAAACAGCACATCCAGGCATACATATGGAACTACAATGACTATACAATGGTACAGGACATTTCTAGAATAACTCCACACATCTTACCGACAATTTTATGTTGCATTGTTGACATGAAGATGAAAATATACTGCATAACTTATTTTTCTAACAAAATCTATCGGTAGATCTAGATCTAAGTCCGTACCATTGCATCACCAAAAAGTAAAAGAAGGGACCAGAATATGGAGCTGCCGCGCATGCAACGCAAATGTACATCCAGCCGAAGTCGCAATTTTGTTTTACACTGCACATCGTCGTAGGGGTATATGTACGATACCAAATCTGTCTGCAATATAGTACTAGCTTAAAAATCAATGAAGATCTGCTAAATTGGATTCATTTTTTAGGTAAACTTCCTGTAAAGTTTATAAGAATATTGATGAATTTGGTATCAGTTTGTAGAAAAAAAAATGTTCTACAAGAAAATTATGATTATTTTGTTTGGTCTATTTGGTGTTTTTTCCTTTCCATTTTTTTTTTCTCTACGAAATGTCAAAGTTTGGGGTGCAACCTACGCGGTGCTGCCGCCTTATCGCCTGGCAAATACCGTATATCTTTTTACTTTAAAAAAAAAAGGATGTTCATTGATGATTTAATAGCTATACTTGCCTTTGCTGCTAAGTCTTTGCTCACCAAATAGTGGACTAAGTTCCTCCCAATAAAACCACAACCTAAAGAAAATAGACCATAAAGAGTTAAAGTCATGAAAATTTCTCAAAACAATATCAAAGAAAGTTTGTCAGTAGGCGCGGACTTCATCATCTTGAGATTGCCAAATAGCCCGCTATTTCTGATTTGGTAAATAATCCCGAAGTTACAAATCGCATCTTCATCAGTTCGAGATTCGATGTCAAAACTTGAAACTCGACCTTGAGAAATTAGCTCGAGATATTTTGCTCAGCGTTAGGGCATAGTGCGAGTCTTCGGTCTGGTGGAAACGCACCAGACAAATAGCTGGATATTTTGCCAAATAGTGGGATATTTTGCAAACTATCCCAAGATATCTTGGGATGACAATCCCGACCAAATATCCCGCTAATTGCTACTTCGGTCTGATGAAGACGCAAATTAGCTGGATAGTTGCGATCAGGATAATTCAAATAGCTGGATATTTGGCAATCTCGAGATAGTGAAGACAGGCCTAGTGTGCATTATATATATATTGCTGACCACATATCTATTAAATTGAACAAGAATTTTTGCAATCGCCAATAAATTTAAAATACCTGTATGTTAGTTCAGGCCCCATTTCACATGCACTCTGGAAAAGTTGGTTACCAAGTCGCTTCCAGTCAATCTCACGCAGCTGAGCTGTGCATGCCAGTGTTGATGTGTGTTTGTATAATTTATTCTCCGATAGTAATCACAATAATTTATAACAATTTCAAGAGTAGATCATTATGAAAAATGTATGAAAATGTTATTAAACATACTAATAATAATATATTGGGATGTGTGAAGGGCACGAGCAAGTAGAAGCATAGCAATAATAATGTCAACTTTCTGTGGTTGTAATCATTGGCAAGTGCAAAAACTCGTCTAAAATACTAACAGACGGTATTACTATAACAGTTTTGTTGGCTCTATGGACAACCAACAGACATACTACGTTTTGGTGGGGAAATCTTAAGTTACAATGCAAGTCAGGCATTTTCTCGAAATGATCGAGCATTTTAATGATTATATTACATAACAATAACTGAGCAAACTCCACATAACTAAACAATTAGAACAGGAGAATAAAGTATTAATTGCAAAAAGTAAAAGTAAAGCTTGAATGCAATTTTTAAACAACCTAGTCTTGAGAGCATTTTTTAACTCATGTTGTACAAAGTACAGTATGAGCTATACAGTAGATTTTCAATATCAATGACTTTTCAAAGCATTCTTTCAAAGAAATAAAACCACAATTTCAATTGAACTTGGAAATCAAATTATGATTTTAACATATCTGATTTAACTTACATTTCCTAAAATATATCAATATCAACCAAGGCATACAGGAAAAGTCGAAGAGGGGCTATATTTTGTTAATGGGTGCAATGGGCCAAAGTGGCAACATTTAATGTTTTGTTAAGAATATATTAATCTACCTGTGTGCCAAATTTGGTACTTTTATCACAAAATGCACAATTTCATTGCTATGCTGCCCGGCTATTCTGCACATCTAGACATGCATATCTGTAAGCTCAGAAAATTTGAAGGTTGATAATCACGATAGGGCCCAAAAGTGATGCGCAAAATTTGGGTGGAAGAAGAAAACAGAGCAAGAAAAAACAGAACAGAAACAAGGCACTATCATGATACAAAGACATACATGTAGCCTTCATGTATATTTTCTTTGCATTTCTAGATATGCAATACTAGTGACACATTTAAGTAAATAATGTGCATAATTTTACCCTGATACTGAAGGGCCCCTAGAATGCTTAGTCATGCTTTATGAGGATACTTTCACATTGAATTATTTGCTTGTGATGTCAATTCTGATCGCATGGTTTGTCTTTTGTGCAACTAAGGAAACTTGTTACAAGTCACATTATATTCTGTATAAATACCCAAAATTTACAAGCGCTGTTATCTTGTTTTGTTTACACAAAACGTTTGGCCAAAGAATCACACTTTTAGTGAGAAGATCTCACTTTTTAATGAAATTTTAAGATTCGCTCACAAAAAAAGAAGATATTTTTCTGTGTGTGAATCCCACTATATTTCCTTGACCAAACAAACATCTGTTTGGCACGCAGTTTGCGTTGGGGAAAATTTAGAAGGCTGCTGGTAGGAAGTACTTTGAAGACGTATCTATTACCATAAATGATATCCTGGACACATTTGAGCTTGTTACAAGCTGCACATTATATGCATGATATGAATGCAAGCTGGTAGAGTCCACATGTACTTGTATAATGCTAATGGTGCAGTTATGCAAAGCATAAAGCAGGGAAAAACAAATGAAGATGACCAAATAGTAATTGGTGAATGGTGTCAAGTGTACTCCAAATAGATAAACAGGAACAAACTAAAAACAAATACATTCCTCCATTGGTCTTCCTCGATTCAAAATCAAATGTAGAATTACAGTACCAGTACATTGTATCTGTATTACCCCCCCCCCCCCTCAAGAAAAAGAAAACTTATATCCTATATACGACATTTTTGCTGTTATTTGAAAGAGCGACTTTCCACCCACAAATGACAACAGTAACAATTAAGTTTAGGCTTACGGTATAATAATGCAGAAATCTATTTTAAAAAGGACAAAAATAAATATAAATGTATGCCTAGCTAGGTAACTCCTATCCATTCTATGCATATTTAAACTTGAATTTTATTACTGTATGAGCAAGATAAGTTAATTTCCTTATGCTTGACCCTTCACAATATCATTAATTGTGTATTACAAAAATCAAGGTTCCACACTAACTTTTTTGGAAGGGGGTCCAGATTTAACATGTTAGTGTCTGTACATGTATGCCTATACCCAATTTAAATATTTCAAAATGTTGGGGTTTGGTTATGTATAAAAAAACTGATTTTGACGAGATCGGTTGACGTGACAGCCGGCCATTCATGAGTGTGTGGTCACGTTAAGCCCCGCCCAGTTATATCATTCTAGTTTGACTATAGGTCCACACACAAAACATTCTGTGATTCTCTATCAAGTTCTAGTTCGAAACGATGCCAAGACCCTCGTTTCATTTTTGATTTGATTTGATTTGATTTTCTTCTGCATTCATGTAAGCATACAGTTTTTCGATAACAATAATAATATAAAGTACTAAGGCTGTGCACAACAGTGTAATGACGTACCCGAGTACACTCCCATGCTTACAAGCGAATACTTGAGTATTCGGACGCCATGTTTTTTTATGAATTTTTTTTGATTTTTTTTTAATTTAAATTTTTTTTTTTTTTTTTTTTTTTTTTTGCCACCACCATACATACCACTGGAGCAGTATCCCAGTTCTGTCGCCGAAAACGCATGCAATTTTACTTTGAGTTGCAGTTGAAGGCGCCGATTTAATAATAATAATAACAGTGAACAATGCTGTTTTAAAAACCAAAGATGGCAGAATAATCCATTTTCCTCCAAGGGCGCGTTCATGCTTGATTTTGACGGCCAGAATCAGGCATCTGTTACGCATTTAGTTTAAAACACGATTGCGTTCATGCTCACTTTTGTAGAATCACCGAAAAACGGCGATCACGATCGCCGATCGTAAACTCACAAAAAGATGCGTTTACAATTTGTAAACGCGTTTAAATGGGGTCAACGCACTGACCTCTAGTGGGTCTACGTAGCATGCGCACACAGGTTTGCGAATCCAGCTGAAGGCCACCCAAGGAGAATTGCCTGGAGAAGTGAGCATGAACAGTGCACCGTGGAACTGCGATTACGATGAGCGTTTACGATGAGCGTTACAAATCGCTCATTCTGCCTTCAAAATCAAGCATGAACGCGCCCTAAGTCCAAGCAGAAATCCAGACATTTGGTCCCAGTTTCTGAGTGGTGAGTTTGACAGTGCTTGAGTTGGGAAACATTTTTACCGACGGCACCATGCCAGCGGCCGCCGCTCACCCAGGCACCGGTAAGCGTCGGCCTGGACATTTGTTGTTTTTTTTTTTTTTTTTTGCGGCCGAATATTCGGGTACGAGAAATCGTACCCGAGTAGTTGTCAACCGTGCGGGTACTCGAGCATTCGACTACCCTTCACAGCCTTATAAAGTACAATAAGTAATTTTCTGACAATGAATCATAAGTAAGCAAATACATATATATATATATGAATTGTTATATTTAAAAACGAAATGATAAACTGTCATAAATAATAAAATTCCTCAAATATTATAAAATTATTTGCGGAAGAAGGACTGTCATTGTAAGCAAATTGCTTGATAATACGACAGCCCCGGACAAAACTCATGAAATATATTAACACATTTATTAAGCAGAAACGGATAGGTAATTGAAAATACAAATTTTGATGATGGTGATGCAGATGAGGATGAGGATGATGATGATGATGATGAAGATGATGATGATGATGATGATGATGATGATGATGATGATAATGATGATGATGATGATGATAATGATGATAATGATGACGATGGTGATAATGATTCGAATGAAAGAAGAGATGACATGATAAAGAATGAAGAGTTTCATACTTCATTATACGACGTATCCATGCTTTTCAGGGAACATGTCTTATCTGATGTTCTTCCATACTTGCATAATAAGAATGATAATGCTCACAATTTATTTTTCACCTCTTCCCACAACTCAACCTTCTCTTTAATTGATAATGGTAAAAAACTGTTTAAAATTTTGAAAACTTTCTTTGCATATTTTGAAACACCCTGTTTAGCCTAACACTCAAGTACACCAAAATTGTACATACAGTACATGTACATGTGTATGGAGGTAACAAGATTTTGAATTAAGAGCAAATGTGTGACTCACAATATGCTGATGTAATGATTTTTCACCATGAGTCATGTCTTGTCTTGAGCACTCACATAGATCTATGTGTAAATACATGAGACAATAAGTCAGTTACATATAATCACATATATTGCATAGGATTGCATAAAGTGTGTGTGTTTAAAAAAAATAATGTCACTGATACTCTCTAATCCGCTGACAAACAATTTTAAATTTGAATGG